GGTATGAGAACTGCAATTTTTTTCACTCAATACATATTTATTGAGAGTCCACTGCTCCAGGGGCTTGGGACACACCAGTGGCCTGAAGTTAAAAGAGAAAAAAATCCTGACCTCATGTGGTTTACACGTTAGTGGGTGGACACACAGCGACACTCAGCATAGGTTAGCTCTCACGTCACTGTTCTCAAAAGATTCCCTCTTCTATCAAACCTTGTGCCCAAGAAAGAGTCCACGTGGAGCCCATTATGTCCCAGAAATCTGAGGACACACCAGAACACACGTCCCCAGAAAAGCGAAAAGCAGGACTGCTGTGCACACTGCACTTTCCTCGGGTCATTTGTCTTAATTCTGTCAAAACGTGCCCCCTTCACGTGTGGGTCATCAGGACCCACAGGGGCCCAGGTGAGCTTCAGTGTCTGAGGCCACCCGCACCCAGCAGGAGCCTGCCAGGCCTCCTTGCTGCAAACCTTCAGCATTTCCAACCCCTGGAAGCTTCTTTATGACCCGTCCTCCCATACTCACGGCAGTTCCCCAGCTGGCCCTCCATGCAGGCAATGGACACAGCCACTGCTGGATAACACCCTTCCACCTGGGAGGCTTACGCTTCTCAGCTGTTCTGACAGGTCGTTTAGTACAGGAAAATGGTTTTTAAGGGTAATCCTCCCTGACACACCTTGGAAGTGTGATCCAACGCCTCGGAAATGATTTAGTGAGGGAGGGACAGTATTTTCGCAGCCGGTGTGACTCCCACTATTTACTGCTCAGAGAGCACACAGCTCTGGCCACTGTACCCTCTTGCAGGAGCCGTGGTAAAGTATCCTGGCAGATGAAAGAACTTTTAAAAGTCATTGATAAGGCTCATTAATGTATCAAAATGTCACCTACTCAGCGTGAACCATTAAAAATTATTAGTACAAGTATTAGGAGAAATAGTCATTAAAGCACAGAAATATCATGAGAAATATCATGGAGAAATAGTCCTCACCTTGGGGCCTTACTGCCAGCTGTCACCCCCTGCTCTGAAACCCTCAGCCTTGTGTGCCAGGAGACGTACCCTCGGGTGTCAGCCCAGGGCATGCAGGACACAGTCCTGAGCCACCTGGGCGTTTGCAAAGCGCTCACAGCCACAGCACAGGCCGGGTCAGCCCTGGTGAAGGCCAACCCCCATCAGACACTGAGGGACACACAGTCAGTCATTTAACTGACACATAGTAGGAAACACAGTCAAACACACGATACGCTCATGGAGCAGATGATGAAAGTCACATATATTGTTAAAATAAACTGTTTACGGCTATGTCCTTCGAATCCCTCGAGGGGACATATTTCCTGTCCTCTGCAATTTGGGGAGAAGCATAAGCCAAGACTATAAACCGCCCAGGGCTGTAAAACCCGCCTCCTCCCGCCCCTCCCTTAGGCTGGCGAATTCTCCAACCAGGGACCCACCACCCCGTGTCACCTGCAAACTGAAGGCAGTTTGATCTAACTCGTCAGAGTTTGCGGCCACAAGGGGAGGGTAGCAGTAACTCATGTTCCCGGGGCTAAGCTAAATTTTGGTCTTTCCGAATCAACTGGCAGAGGAAAGTGCTGAAGACAGGTACGCACCTCCACAGGCGCTCATGTGAAGGAACTTTCAGGACAGCGTACTGTGCGAAGATACTTAACATCAGGAAGGGGGAGGCGAACGATGAAGGTGGAACGACAAATAATAAACCCAAAGTGTATGCTGATGAGACCTGGGCACACACAGCTTTCTTGTACCCTCGGTCAGGTGCCACGTCTGCTCGAGCGCATCTCCCAGCAGACAGAGGCGGGCCTTCCGCGTCCCTGGAGAGTCTGGTTACCGAGGGAACTGCCAGCAATGCCATTTGGGGGCAGCTGGAAGGATGGTGCCGGGCGTAAAGAGCGCACGGAGGGCTCCTTCTCTGTGTCCTGGAGCCAACCACCAGCCCACCTGCTCGTTTTCGGCAAGGGCAGGGCACCGTGTGAGCACATCTTAGCACACCTCTTCTCCCGGGAGCAAGCACCGATAATTGGCATGGCTTCTGTATTTCAGATTAAACATCATGCTTCACTAGACACTGACCAACATGCAAACACACTTAACTTGGTAAATAAGTGAATAATTCTGTCAAGTCTAGGAAGAAGCAGTTCTCGCCACAACTTTACACTTTGTAATAGAGACAATGCTAATGGCAAGCTTTTCCTAAGGGAAAATGAAATATTACCATGTATTTTTAAAAGTTGACATTGACATAAACATCCATCGCCCTAAACGTAGCAGATGCATAATGATATTTACACACGTCGGTGATCGTGGGGGAGGGGAACAGAAAAAAGTGACAGCTTGACCTAAAATTAATGTAACGATACTATTTTTCAAAAAGTCTTTTAAATTGCTCTTGGGGCCATAAGCACAGTGAACAAGATATTCAAAATGTGTTCTGTGCAGTGACGCCAAGGCCACCATGCAGGCAGCTGTCCAAATGACAGTCACTCCTCCTTTCAAAAATCCAGAAAGACAGCAGTTCCTGCCTCCTTCTGCGAAGCAGCAGAGGCATGCGACAAGCCCAATGTCATTTCCTGTCTGTCAGCCAGCAGGACAGGAGGGGACAAGGAAGCCGGCCCCAGAGGCCCCGCTGTCAGCCCCTGTCTCCCGATGCTCCTCTCTGATCCACGCTCAATTTCAACGCGGAGGGCCCGCTCTTGTTCTCTTCCATTATCATTTCTAGGAGCAATTTGCACGTTTCTACAAATGGTCTTTTGCGTGGTTATTCTTGCTGAATTGCAAACAATAAGAAAAGACTTTCATAAATCAAGTCGCCCGAATCTCCTCCTCTCTTGATAATAAGGGAGGGTTTCCATTAGGCCAAAAAAGAAAGAAAGAAAGAAAGAATCAGGGAACCTCTCTCAGACACGAGACACAGAAACGTGCTTCCGTTTTGCTGAAATGATGGAGTCCCACGAACGCACTGGCTAGCTAGCTTGATGATACTCACAAAGCAACAATGTACATGCTGTATCTAAGGCAGATACACATACATATTTGGCTCTGCAAATGTGAATGGGGGCAGTACGACGTAAGGACTTACCTAATCTAAGTGTGAAAAATATTTTTATTGCTCCGGCAAGAGTCACTGTTAACTGAATGCAACAACAAGAAGGGGGAGAAAAAGAGCTTGCAGACCCGAGGGAATTACCAAATCAATTAACAAGTAATTCAGGAACTAATTTCTATATTGCCTCTTAGCACAAAATTGTATCTTTAATTTCTCCTGCAATAAGCATCTCTGATGGTCCTAACACTGCCGCTGTAAATGAGTTTACAAGGATCTCTTTTTGATTGGCTATACAACATTATTTCTTCACAGTTCAGTGCTACTGCAGCCAAGTGCTCTAAAATATTTAATTAGACTGGTAGCTACCAGTTACCAATTTCCAAGACCCACAGTGAGTGCAGTACATTTTAAAGAACTAGTAATCAACTAATTAAAACCACAGTGAACTCCAGATACTGCAATTACAAACAACTGCTGTGGAATAATACACTTAGAGGGTGCCTGCGTTCAGGGCAAGGCGACCCCGCAGGTCTGGCTGCACCACGAAGCGCGAGTGCCACCCACCGAGGACCCCTCAGCACTGGGGCGATTTCGGAAACACGTCAGCTCTGAGCAGCCCCTGGGGGTGGACCTGAGCCTGATTTTTTCCGAAAGCCAATGAAGTCACAATGGAAGCTCAGCAGGGCGAAGACTGCAGGTTTTGGAAAGAGGCGGACGCGGGTTTGAGTCTTGTCTCTGCCTCTTACTGGCTTCATGAAGTCACGCTATCAAAGCCTCAGCTGTCTCATCTCCACAATGGAAAGAATGACGCCACGAGCCTCACAGGGATGCTGGGGGTTCAGGGAGCCCACTGGGCAAAGGAGTGCCCCAAGCTCTTCACCCCTGGGAGCCAGGACTTTTCAAACGTAATGGTTTTTACTTACTGTCTTCCTCATTTTGTAACTAGTCAGACCAAACAGTATGAAACTTAAGGATTTCACTTAGAAAAAAAGGTCTGGTTACAATACAATCCAAATATCTTCTAACATTATTTGTTATGTCTGTTTTGTTAAAGCCCAAGAAGGGGGCTGGCCGAGTGGTGTGTTGGTTAAGAGCTGGCTTGGGATGCCAGAGGGCCCTGGTTCGGATCCCACATATGAGGGCCAGTGACACTGCCCTCCACAGCTAAGATGCTGAACAACAGCTCGACCTGGAGCTGGGCTGCAGTGGGTCGCTGGCGACGGCGTAGGCTGCAGCCCCTGTGGCAGTGGGTTGCCATGGGCTACCGTGTGTGGCCAGCAGCCAGCGTGAGCGGCCAGCAACCACAGTGAGCTGCCGTCCAGAAGCCGGCGACTGATCTGCCTCGCCAGGGAAGAGCGCAATGATGGTGCCAACTTGGGCCAGTGAAGCGACGTCCTCCACAACTAGACTGAAGAACAAAAGGACAGCAACTTGTCTGTTCCTCTTCCCCAATTCCCCAGCGCTGTTCCCATCCCCCAATTCCCCAATAAAAAATCTTAAAAAACCCCCCAAAACCCAAGGAGGAAAAAGATGCCTGTGACGTTGGTGCTGAAAGTGGAGAGAGCATGGGAGTAGACAGAAGAGGGTCCCGGCTCCTGCACGTAGTAACGTGCGACCCTGGACAAGTCGCTCGCCTTCCTGGGACTCAGTTTCCCCATATGTAAAGTCAGGGACCCTTCCAGCTTTAAACACTGCGTGCTGTGTGCCTGGACACTGTAATTCGGTAATGGACACAATGAGAGCATTTGGTTATTGGGGCAAAAACGGAAGGATCACAGGAAAAAATAACTCTTACTGATAATATATTGAATTAGTATATGTCCCTATTACATAAACATATACATATATATGTATAATTTTTTTTAAGTGTGTTTTTCCAGGACTCACGAGCTCCAAGTCAAGTGGTTGTTTCAATCTAGTTGGGGGGGAGGCGAGGCTCACTGGCCCATGCTGGGATCGAACCAGCAACCTTGTTGTTAAGAACATTATGCTCTAACCACTGAGCTAACCGGCTGCCCCTACACATATATGTATTTTTTATTCTGAGATAAACTAAGAAAAAAAATTAACTCTTGGGTAGCATTTCAATTTTCATGCAAAAACAAACAAACAAACAAACAAACAAACAATGATCTGAGACCAAATCAAAACCAGACTGTGGAGTGCGGCTGGGCCTTCCGGAAGCTTCCTTCCTACTCGACACCGAGAGCAACGGCTGGACCACAGCGGCACTCACCACACACGTGCTGTTTGATACACAGAACGAGGTGCTTTTAAATGAAAGAAATGATAGCCACTAATCATTCCTTCTGGTTTGCTGAGAACATACTATGTGCCCACCCGCCAACGCCCACAGCTTCCGGTCACCCTTGAGTTTGGGAACTGCCACCCGCTCTCACCAGATCTATCTCGCCAGGTCCACTCACAGCCCGTCCTCCCCCGTCTCCTCCCCTGCCACCCCCAGACTCCTGTGCTCCTCCAGCTTCTTCTCAAAGGCCCAGCAAGTTTCAAAATTGTCCCCACTTGTCCCTCCCCTCCAACACAGGAAGGGTTAAACAGGCACTTAAGTGCCTGTTTTCAGACAGCAAATCAATGCAGATTGAACAAAAAAATAACATCGGAACAATCTTAGCTGTCTTCTCTCTATTAACTGCTTCTGAGTTGCACATGATACTATGTCAAAAGGCCGATAAGTCCTTCAATGTTACTAGTTTACGTGTAACAACTGCTCTTGAAATTCCCTTGCTCAGAAGGGGCATTTGGTTGTACTTAGACTTCTGATTCACCAAGTATAAAAGCGGGAAAAACAAGCTTCGCTCTACTTACACATATACACATGGGTGCGTGACACACACACACACACACACACACACAGTATCCAGGGCACTTTATTCTAGACTATGCACATTTGTCAAAAGGAAGTTGTCTTCATTTTCAAAAACCTACTTATTACTGAATACAATTTGTATCAATAAACTGTCTTTACAGAATATCACCAGTGTTCAAGTATCTCCCCTAGATATTCATCGATAGCTTCATCAAAGGGACAAAAATAACTTCCAGTGGAGAGACCCCAAAGACCCCACCTCAACCAAATGACCACAGTTAATGTCACCAATAATATGACAATGTGGGTATCATGTGCCCCCTGCTGAGGACACTGAGACGGACATAGCATGTCTGGGGGGTTCCTGCCAACAATGCATAACCTCAGTCTATTCAAGAGAAACATCAGACAATGTGAACTGAGAGACACTCTACAGCGTAACTGACCAGTGTCCTACACAGTGTCAAGGTCACTGGGTACAGGAGCTGTCTTGGGATGGAGGTGAAGCACTCAACTCCAGGAGGGTCCTGGAATAGACCCTGGATGGACGTGGGACGGGGTCTGCATGTGAGCTGTGTCACCCCCTGTCCATTTCTGGTTTGATGGCTGTACTATGGTTTTGTCAGCCCCCTAAAGGGCATATGGAAATTTTGTGCAACTTTTCTTGAAGTTTAAAATAATTTCACAAGTTTAAATTTTTAAAAATTCTCCATTAATCCCACCCCAGTTCACTTGTCTGTATTCCTAGTCATCCAATTTCAGACCCAATATACATATTTTTCACGTTCTAATTATTAGTTTTATGCTCCCACTTTTAATTTTATAGACACACTTCACGCCTCTAGAAATCTCCCAACTGGCCATGTAGGTAGCTGTATGTCCCAGTGCTATTTACTTGACAATCACTAATTTAACTCCTTGCTTGCTGGACACTGGCAGTTCCCGGGGTTTTAATATTGTAAATAACTCTGCTATGAACGTTTTTGTACACCTAAGGCTTTTACCCCATTCTCCTAAAGAATTATTCCCTTGGGATAAATTTCTAGGAGAGAGATTATTGGGACAAAGTGAATAAATTTTTTAATGTTTTTTACCTATTGCTATTTATCCCCCAAGAGGACTGGGCCAACTTTTAGTAACATGGCACTGCATTTCTAAAACTGTTTTCCCCTAATTTTAGGTAAGAGTACGATTTTATCATCTTTTGTTAATTATAAACCTAAGTATAAAATGCTACTTCATTGTTTTAAATTTCCAATATGAACAAAGAAAGGCCAAATATCCATGCACGTCTATCTACTTACGAGTTTTATTTCCAGCCTCTGCTATGTCACTCACGTCCCCGGCTCATATGTTTGTGTAGCTGGTACAGTCATACTTTCCTATGAAATTAATTTTTATGCATACTAAATACAATATAAATGATTTCTCTATACAAGAACTTCTTGACAATAAACACTTTTTTTTTCTTTTTAGCACTAATTACACTCATGACTATGGCTGCTATAGACTGACTAGTGGGGTAACAATTGGGCAATGACAAAAACACTAAAATTTGTGGGTTTGACATAAACAATTACATCATGAAGACATTTGTTTAGATGAAATTTCCTCGGCATGAATATTGAAAAGGAGAAGTTTTAGAAGAAACCAGTTTTCTGAAATGATTTTGTTCATTGACAAAGGTTTTATTCTTTGAAGAGTAAAAGATGTAGCTCTTGTGTTTCACCTAAATAGGGTATCGACACGAGAGAGGTAAATTTAGAAAATGTTGAATTAAAAATTATTCTGTACTTTAAAACATAACTTAATATAGACTATAACTTCATATATATATATATATATATATATATATATATATAAACATAAAATGTATTTTGGGAAAAGAAAAACATTTTACACTATTGCCTTACTCAACCTACTATTACTACTACTATTAATACCACTACTGCACCGCTATTACTACAATTTACTATTACAATCACTACGACAACGACTAGCCTAGCCCCTTGGCTGCCCCGCGGGCACTGCGGGAAAGACCACCGCTAGGAGTGTGTGCTCTCTGGAAGCACGTGGGCAAGGAGTCGTGTGGAGGACACACGTGTCCATGCAGGGAAGATGGCAGCAAGAGCCCAGGACCCGACGAGGTGTCGGGCAGGGAGGAGGGGCAGACGCCACGTCTCCTTGGGGACCAGGTAAGTTTTCCTGGAATAGAAGGCATATGACACGGGGCCTGAAGACGGGAAGGCTGTGACAAGCATAGATGAAAAGGACCAGAACCACCCACAGCTGGGAGCCACATGTAGGCAAAGGCGGAAGCAGCCCAAAGTGTCCCCATGTGCCCGGCAGGGGTCACAATCTCTTGTGAGCCAGCCCTGGCCTCAGGTTAACCCCTGGGCCTGTAGGTGACCCTGACACGGGCTGTAGCGTGAGGGCTGTAGCGTGAGGACCATGGTCAGTCCAGGGGCCAGACAGCACGTGCTTTCAAGGACGGCCCCCGCATAACACACTGTGTCGTGCTGGAACCCCACCAGGAGTACACCATTCACTTGGTTTTTTATCTGTTTTAGAAAAGATGGTAACCTAAGCACAGGTTAAAAATCAGGGTGAATGTTCTACAAACGTATGCTAGCGCACTCCTGGACTTGAATCCCAGCTGCAGCACTTATTAGCTCTGGAACCTTGTTCACATGGAACCTTGGCCCAGTGCCTTAACCTCCCCAGGCCTCAGACTCCTCCTCTGTGGTCGGCAGTAAGTCGTGTCATAGGTTGGCTGACAATTAAATGAGGTCATGTGATTAAAGTGACACAATTGCTTTGGATACTCTGCCCACCGGAAAGGACCCAATGAAATCATTTTGGCTATTACTGGTGCTTTGTTTTGCTTTTCAAAACCAATCTGAAGGGTCTCCACTGACCAGGAGTAAAACACCTGCACAGGGGGAGTTAGATGCTTCACAGAAGGATACATTCTAGCAACAGTCTTATTTCAAGTATCAGTTTAATGCAGCTCAGGAGGATTTAAGTTGAAACCCTCCAATCAGAATGGTTTGAATCGTGTATGTTTCCTATCCAATTTGCATGACCTCGTAAAATAGGTCCTTTTGATTCTCAATAGGAATGAAAGGAATAAAATGGCCTTATCTTATACCAGAAAGACCTAGGGCAAAACAACACCTAGAGGGACCGAAGGTCACAGATGGCCCCAGGGAGGTCACAGACCTGAGTGCCTGTCCCAGCCCTGCTATTCGTCACCAGCTGTGTGTCATGGCTGCTGTGTTCCCCCCAAATTCATGTGTAAGCTCTAACCCCCAATGTGACTTTATTTGGAGGCAGGGCCCTTAAAGTGGCCAGTAAGGTTAAGTGAGGTCGTATGGGTGGGGCCCTAATCCGAAGTGACTGGTGGCCTCGTAAGAACAGGAAGGCACCAGGGGTGACCACACAGCAGAAAGGCCGTGTGAGGACACAGAGAGAAGACAGCTTGGTGCTACCATAAATCTCACACCCGCACACTGCCGCCCTGTGGAAACACCATGAGCCCCCACAGCTGATGGGGGACATCACCACACCCTCTAGATCCCTCCAAAGGACAGCTACAGCGCTTGGCAGCGGGACACTCTCATACCCTCGTCCCGCACCCTTTCTTCCCGCTGCTGTGCTCATTCTACACCCCTTCTGCCTCTGGCGACCTCCTACTCATACCTCAAAGTCCAGTGTGAATGCCCTCAACTCCATTCCCCTGTCCCTCGCCATCACCTTTCCAGCTTGGTAGACTCCACCATTCCGGAGCTTCTGGGGCTCCCAGGGTCCTTCTAACACACCTTTGCAACCCCCACCCCAGAGCTGGAGGCCACGGGTTGGGGTCTTCACTGCTCATCTGAGCTCGGCCTGGATCGTAGGCATCTTCTGTTTCTCCCATCCCAAAGGTACGTCTACATAGAATGAGCATATGGTTGTTACAAGCTGACGGGGTCTGATAGGAAATAACACCCAAACCAAGTTATCTTCTTATTCATCAAGACAAAACTAAATTCCGGTGATAAATGCCAACGTTAGCTTTGAGAAATGTTCCTCTATTTGAATGGGAGTTTATGTTTCTGAGCTCATAAGGAATTGGTTTCACCATCACTGTTGAACTTTTAAAGAAAATAAACAACATTTTGCTGAAATGCATCACGTAGTCAGAT